CAGGAAAGGAGTAAACACCTCACCCCTTATCATACCACCTTGGAAGAACTGAAAATTTACAGGTCCCTACAAGTATCTCTGAAAACAGCTGTACAAACCCCCGAAGCTTGAGACAGTGCGTTCTCCACATTGGAAGAAGATTCATACCTTAAAAAAGAGTTTAAAGCTCAAATAATTGACCAGGATCATGAGCAAGCAGAGCAAAAAGAGTCAGACTATATTATCTTACTTTGGTGAAAAAGATTAAAATATACAACCAGAAGAAGACAACAAAGTCAAAGCTCCTACATCCAAAGCCTCCAAGAAAAATATGAATCAGTCCCAGGCCTTGGAAGAGCTCAAAAGGGATTTTGAGAAGCAAGTAAGGGAAGTAGAGGAAAAACTGGGAAGAAATGAGAGTGATGCAAGAAAATCATGAAAAACAAGTCAACAGCTTGCTAAAGGAGACCCAAAAAAATACTGAAGAAAATAACACCTTAAAAAATAGCCTAACCCAAATGGCAAAAGAGGTCCAAAAAGCCAATGAGGAGAAAAATGCCCTAAAAAGAAAAATTGCCAAAATAGAAAAGGAAGTCCAAAAGACTTACTGAAGAATAATTACTTTAAAAATTAGAATTAGAGAGCAATTGGAAGCTAGTACTTTCATGAGAAATCAAGACACTATAAAATAAATCCAAAAGAATGAAAAATTAGAAAACAATGTGAAATATCTCATTGGAAAAACAACTGACCTGGAAAATAGATCCAGGAGAGAGAATTTAAAAATTATTGGACTATCTGAAAGCCATGATCAAAAAAAGAGCCTAGACATCATCTTTCAAGAAATTATCAAGGAAAACTGCCCTGATATATTAGAACCAGAGGGCAAAATAGAAATTGAAAGAATCCACAGATCTCCTCCTGAAAGAGATCCCCAAAGGAAAACTCCTAGGAATATTATAGCCAAATTCCAGAGTTCCCAGGTCAAGGAGAAAATATTACAAGCTGCCAGAAGGAAACAATTCAAGTACTGTGGAAACACAATCAGGATAACACAAGATTTAGCAGCTTCTACATTAAAGGACTGCAGGGCATGGAATATAATATTCTGGAGGGCAAAGGAGATAGGATTACAACCAAGAATCACCTACCCAGCAAAACTGAGTATAATCCTTCAGGGGAAAAAATGGTCATTCAGTGAAATAGAGGACTTTCAAGCATTCTTGATGAAAAGACCAGAGCTGAATAGAAAATTTGACTTTCAAATACAGGACTCAAGTGGAACATGAAGAGGTAAACAGGAAAGAGAAATCATAAGAGACTTATTAAGATTGAACTGTTTACATTCCTGCATGGAAAGATGATATTTATAACTCATGAGACCTTTGTCAGTATTAGGGTAGTTGGAGGAAAAAAATTATGTGTATGTATATATAGATAGATAGAGGGCACAGGGTGAGTTGAAGATTAAGGGGTCATATCTGGAGAATAAAATTAAGGGATGAGAGAGGATTATACTCAGAGAAGAAGAAAGGGAGAGGTAGAATGGGGTAAATTATCTCACAAAAAAAAAGAAAAGTCTCTTACAGTGGAGGGGAAATGGGGAAGGTGAGAGGGAATGAGTGAATCTTATTCTCATAGGATTTGGCTTAAGGAGGAATAACATACACATTCAATTGGATATGGAAATCTGTCTTACCCTACAGGAAAATAGGGGAGAAGGGGACAAGAGAGCAGGGGGATGATAGAGAGGAGGGCAGATTGGGAAAGGGTAATCAGAAGTAAATACTTCTGAGGAGGGACAGGGTCAAAAGAAAGAATAGAATAAATGGAGGGCAGGATAGGATTAAGGGAAATAGAGTTAGTTTTTCACAACATGTCTACTATGGAAGTGTTTTGCATAACTGCACATGTACAACCTATATTGAGTTGCTTGCCTTTTCAATGAGGGTAGGTGGGGAGGGAAAGGGAGAAAATTTGGAACCACAAGTTTTAAAAACATGTTTAAAAAAAGTGTTTTCACATGCAACTGGGAAATAAGAAATATAGGAAATGGGGTACAGAAGTCTATCCTGCCCTACAGGAAAATAGAAGGGGAAGGGATAAGAGAAGGGGGGAGAGAGAAGAGAGGACAGACTAGGGGAAGGGATATTCAGAATGCATGCCATCTTGGGGTGGGGAGGGGTGAGAGGGGTGAAAATTTGGAACTCAAAAACTTGTGTGAATGTTGAAAACTTAAATGTGAATGAATGAATGAAAATAAATGAATGAATAAATGAATGAATGAATGAATGAATAAATAAAATTTTGAAAAGAGAGAGAGTTTAAAGATAAGAGAGAGTAAGGATGATAGATGAGGCAATCTGCTGGAGAAGACAGAATGTAATAGGATCAGTTACACAGGTAGAGGGTTTTGCTTGGAAATATGAGACAAGGGTGAAAGAAGAAATAGTAGCAGAAGTCATCTGGGAGGTGTAAATTGAGGAGGAGGGGGAAGAGGCAGCCTCAGCAAATGGCCTCAATTTCTTCAGTGAAATACAAACAAGATTCTCAACTGATAGGGTTGGGATGGGGGGATAGTGGTGGGGTAGCCAAGGAAGTTTGAGGAATAATGAAAAGATTTAGAAGAACTGATGTGTTGAGGGGAATAGTGAATTAAACAGGGAATTGTAAAAGGATTGCCTTGCCATGGTGAAGGTCCAGTTAAGATTATGTAATATAAATTTGTAGTGGACTCAGTCAACATAGTTTTGTGACTTTCTCCAGTAATATTGTGAATAGGAGCAAGAGCAGTGGATGATGTATATAATTCAAGTATAAGGCTTCATAGGGAAAGATCAGCAATAAGAAAAGAGAGCAAAGGATTACAGAGAATAGGACATTGTAGAGTTGAACTGGTTTACCAAGGGGTCAAGATAGGGAAGAAAAGAGAGTAGAAATGAAAGAACTGGAGGGTTAAGTGATTGGAAGTCAAGACAAAGATGAACAACAGGATTTGGGGTTTCAAGGCAGAGGAAGAGGTAGAATGACAACAGATTGCAATCAGATATGAGAGTTTCAGAATTCATGAATATGGAAGGGGCATAATGGAAGTAGATGATGGCAAGATCAAGGAGATGACCATCTTTGTGTGTAGCTGAGTTGGAGTGGAGGAGTAGATAGTGTGAAATGAGTAGATTGATGAATCAGAAGTTTAGAGTGTTTATGAGAGTATACCTAGTACAAGGGCAGGAGTTAGGAAGGAGAGAAATATTGTGAACCAGGCACTGAACTCATTGAGGAAAGAAGGGAAGTGTCCTGGAGGTGGGTTACTGGAAGCTACTGGAATGTTTATTGGGTGGTAGATATGGATGAGTGAACTTCAAAGAAGAAAAGGTTACTGAGTATGGCAGAAGAAAGAAAACCTAAAGTGTCAATGGAGAGCAAGGAGTGTTCTAACTCCCTCGCCTCAACTAGTGAGTTGAGTGTGTAGTGGAAGGGGATGAATGAAAGTGCAACTATTTCTGGAAAAGAGACCAAGAGGAAACCAGGAGGTAGAATGTGGAAGGAGTGAGATAAGAAAAGATTTAAGATGAAATCAAGTTTGTTACCTATGGAACAGGCATTTCAGAGAGTGCAGTAGAAGAGGGTAGGTAGCACAGTGGAAGGTAGGTAGGTAGTGGAATGTGGAATGGTTTGGGTTGAGAGGGTTGAGAATAAGAAGAAAATGTCAGCGGGGCAATGGAGAATGAAGTTTGAATGATGACAGAGAGATTTACAGTCAGTGGTGCAGAATCACCAAGATGGGGAGAGTATGACCAGGTAAGAGTCTGTCACTCATTGAGGAATTAGTTCAGGTAGGTGATCAATATTCCTAGGGGTTTCTCATTCTTTTCTTACTCTCTTCCTTCCCTGTACCTTTGCTCAAGTGATATGCTTCTCTAAAAAAGACCTCTACTCACCCCATGTCCATTTGTTGAAGTCTTTCTCTTCCTTCAAAGTCCAGTGTAGGAGTCAACCCCTTTATGAAGCTTTCCCCAATCTCAAATTTCTCATAATATGTGGCCTGAACTTATCTTTTGGACTCATGTCACTCTCTGTTTTCCTATAGGTCCTTGTTTACAGTTTCAGCCTTCTCAAACTTATCCCTAAAGAAAAAAAAGAGAAAATACACCTTCTTCCCTGAATTGGAGAAAGTGGGAGTAAGGTTTGGAGTATCATATATGTGTCAGTTTAATTGATATGTTGATTAGTTTTCATGAATTGCTTTTTCCTCTATTTTCTCTTATAGTTTTTGTTACAAATGATGGTTTTCTGGGTGGAAGTGGAGAGAAATGTATTTAGAAATGAAGGTGATGTAAATACAAAAAAAATCAATAAATTTTAGCACTATTTTGAAAAAACAAACAAACAATAAATTGCAGGTGATCCCTATGCCAGAGACATGACACAAAGAATCTAGTAAATTTTTGGTACCTTTCTTGACCTTTTGACTCATAGACATTTCTCTGGAAATTTGGGAAAATGTGTGTGCAATATTCTCTAGTATACTGAATCCAATTTCTTATTTGTAAATGCTCAGTTCACAATGCTAAAGAAAAAATAAAGTTTTATTAAAAGATGGAAGAAAATAAAATAGAGATCCTTAAATGGGTGGATGTTAGTCCCAAAGATGTATTTAATTTCCAGTACTTGAAATCACTCCACTTCCAATGGAAGTCCCACCTCCACCCCCCAAATCTTGACCCACTTTTCCCCATCAATCAAAGGAGTGTATGGGGTATTGGAAATGGTAGGTGGCATTTTTCACTGACAACAGTAATGCAAAATTTCCTAACAATTGTTATTATTCAAAGATAGAATAGGCTGCCTTGAGAAGTAAGGAGTTCCCCTTCCTTAGAGGTCTTCAAGCAAAGTGGGCCTGACTACTTCGTTGTTTATATAATTATGGAAAATGGATATAAAGGAAAAGACTTATACGAAGCACAACAATTTCCTACAAAAAAAATTTAATAGATGTTTAAAAAAAAAGATCACCACAATCTAGAAACTAAAATAGCTAAGAAACCAGCCTAGTCAGTAAACACTTGACCTCCCTGTTAGGTCCAAAGACATGGCAGCTAAGGGAACCACTAGCTTAGATGATAAATTCATTCACAAAACGAAGGTGGAGAATGGAAGACTGTGAACTGCATCACCTTACAAATGAGCAAAAAGTGGTAGAGGACAAAATAAGTCTACCAAAAACTTGTCTTTACCAGGGGTATACTGGCAAATGTCCAACAACTGGTTCTCTGAAAAAAAGAAAGTGCACAAGATATTAAAATTTAATCCACATTTATTAGCATTTTCTCCCTCACTTTTTAAAATCTAGACAAAAAACAAAATAAGCTAAGTTATGATTTGCAGCATTTGCTGATTTCTAACATGTAAGTGTTTACACTGAAAGTTTAACAATCATCTCTCATGAGCCAGGGACTCCAACACACCCCTGCCTGAGACTCAACTAAGCCAGATTATTCCAGGAGCTTTCCAAATGAATTCCAATGGAGGATAACAGATTACTTCTACACCAAACTCTTCATCATCACTGACTATAAAACCCATGATGTTTAGGTTCTAGAATCTTAGCTGCTTTGTGGCCATATATGAGGAAGTAGATGTTGTACTCAAGATGAAGACAGGAAGAACAGCTCAACTAAAACAAGTTTATACATGAAGAAATTTGTGTTGGAAGCAGCATGATTGTGGGAGCATTGATTTTTTAAATACATTAAAGCAGGGAAGATACTAAATAATTGAAAAGAAGACTATTATTGGCTCCCTCCCCCCTAAAAAAAAAGGGAATTGAGAAGACACCAATCACTACAAATCCATATGCCTGTTTCTCATCTCCATAAAATCTAGAAAGGTCAAAATGGTGATAGAGCCAATACAGAGATATGCATTTTTACAAACCTTGATATTTCTAGCCTAAGAGAGAGCAGTACAACAGGGAACCATACATTCTGAGGACAAGCCACAACTCAGGACTTGGAGTCAGGAAGACTCCAGCTTCAAGTTCAAAACCAGCTTCAGATAGTTGCTAGCTGTGTGACCCTGGGCAAGTCACTTAACCTCAGTCTGCCTCTGCTTCCTCATGTATAAAATGGAAATAATAACAGCACTCATGTCTCAGAGTTGTTGTGAAGATTAAATGAGTAATATTTGTAAAGCATTTTATAAACTTTAAAGTGTTATATAAATGCCAACTATTATTACTACCCATTTATACCTTTTGACCCATACTCAAAGGATATAAAAGACAGAAACAAAGGTTCAATCTGCACCAAAATATTCACTGAAGGACTTTTTGTCATAACAAAGAACTGGAAACAAAATAAATGTCCATCAATTGGGGAATGGCTGACAAATATTATGGTATGAAAATGTAATGAAATATTATTATGCAGGAAAAATTGACAAATATGAGGAATTTAAAGAAACATGGAAAGAATTTTATGAATCAATGAACCAAGAGAGAAGTACAAACAAAAAGGCCAATATATACAATGACTACAACAGTATAAATAAAAAGATTAACAAAAGGAAATTGAACTCTGCTTAACTGAAAAACAAGTGAATATCCTGGAGGATGAATAATAAAACCTATCTCCCCTCACACTAGCAGCTATGTAACTAGATAGGCAGATAGATAATACAAGTAAGCAAAGCAGTCCCTATACCCAAGAAGCTTAAGTTCTAAATAGAGAACACATGAAATATAAGGGAACATACCTGTGTGTGGACATTGTAAAGAGATGGCAAAGATGCAGTACAGAGGCCTGCAACCTGTCAGAATAAGACCAAAAACCTGGATTAGACTATTGTGTAAAATGTCAGGTATGATCCCTGAAAGTAAAAACTGGATGTTTTTGCTTTATTGTTTTCTTTGTCAAAGGGAGGACTCATTATGGAGGGAGGAAAAGAAAAAAAAATGTAAAGATAAAAATAGCAATAAAATGCATTTTTAAACCATCAGATTATTTAAACGTAGAATTGGCTGCCTTAGAAGGCTATCCTTCAATGGAAATCTTCTTTTGATTCACATGGCCTCTACCTTTGTTCAGCCCTCATCACCTCTTGCCTGGATTACATTGCAACAGACTTCTAATTGGTTTCCCTGCATCTACTTTCTCCCTTCTCCAAACCACCCCTCCCATGGCTGCCAAAATAATCTTCCTGAGGCCAAAGTCCTATGATGTCATTCCAGCCCTAGGATTAAGTTTTCAAGCATAAATACTTAAGTAGGAGGAGGCCCAAGGATATAAGTGGAAATTTCAGAGAAAGCATTTAAACATTTCTTAGGAATGACCACAAAGCTTCTTACTTCTGAGACCAAGGCTCCTCAGCTTGAGAACTCAAACAGAGATGATTGTTGGTCATTGACCAATTTATTCACTGGCCACCTGGGAGACAAGACAACTTCTGGAGGTAGTATTCCACTGCAGGCTTTCTAGATCTCTAAATGGGCCCCAGACTTCTCCACCCTTTTCCTCGGGCATTACTCTAGGGAAAGGTCTCATAAACATATGTATAATCTCCTCCCTAGCTCTACCTTTAGCCAATTTACTTCACCTACTGGGCCAGCATGAGGGAGGAATGCTCTGAGATGCTCTGGGTGAAGTCATCCAACAGGAAATGGTTTTTCTTCCCAGCATCTTCCCATCACTAATGACCCCAGTCTAAAGGTAGGAAACAATCCCACAGCCTCAAAATGCCTCCACCTAATCATTATATAGCTTGTCTTGCTGGGGTCTTAAGTCAGCTACTTGTTTTGAAGGTTGTGATGATACAGTGCTGTCTGGGACTAGGATTTGAGAGGAGAAAGGGTGTTGGCAGAATCACCATTTCTCAGTTCCCCCACCTACATCCCTAGGAATGTGGCAAGAAGCTGGGAACAGAAGTAAGGGTGTGTCATATAGATGCAAATAGGGTTCCAAGTTCTAAGGGAGATCTAATCAATAATTGCAGTCATAGAAGTAAATGCACCAGGCAGCCTCTGTGTGTGTGTGTGTGTGTGTGTGTGTGTGTGTGTGTGTGTGTGTGTGTGTATGAAGGGTATGAGGACTTTAAAAGGATATATCCCCCTCAGTTAAATTATTGGAAGTAGGAAATGGATGTACAGATTTCAGTTCTGCTCTGACCAGCTATGTAACTACTCCTCTTTGTGATGATTGGTTTTCACAGAAATACCTTCACCAAAGTATAGCCACCAAGCACCTGTGGGCCATGACCTTGTACTTGTTGTTAATAACACAGAGTTAACAGACTGGACACACATCTTCACAGAGTCTACACTCCAATAGACCACATTGGCATGAATTAACCTAAAAAGAGAAACAGATATGTGAGCAAGCACTGGACAAGGATACGAGTTAAATGAGAAAGGCATAGTAACAATAAACACAAAGAAGAATGAGGTCATATTGTGAAGCTATGTTTAATTCAATTAATTATAGCATTTATTAATTTATTAATTGAATTCAATCATTTATTAAGTGCCTACTATGAACAAATGAATGAAACATATTATTGAGGACCTACTAAGTGCCAGACCCTGAAGCTGGGAATATGACATTAAAAATTACTCTGACCCTGCTTTCCAGGAACTCACATTCTAGCAGGAGGAGTCAACGCATGTGGGAATTGGTGGACAGGGAAGGGAATTTTGTTGCAGAGTCACAGGGATTATGAGCAGAGCCACAGAACAGTTTACTGAAATTCCCCTTCCATAGGCAATGGTAGTATTTATTTGATTATTGTTCCTAAAGCCAAAGTTGGACATTGGCAGGGATTGAGGGGAAAGGAGATGGAGGAAGGTGAGGAAAGTATGTGCACAAGAAAGTGACACTGGAATAAAACACTGTTGACCAATACACTGAACAGCAGTGACTGTCTCACTTTTCTATTTGTATTCAATCCATCCATCAATCACCTATCCATCCATCTATTCTTCCAAACAGAGCTAGACTGATGTGCAGAGAAAATAGGTTACCTTCTAGCTAACGTACAAAGATGAAGGCAAATCCCCTTTGACCTCAAATATCTTCCCCATCATTTAACTGGGAGCCTGAAATTCCCCCTAACTCATTTGGGTAAGGGAATTGTGTCTGTAGAGCGTGGTTCTACAATCTAGTTCAACATATATTAAGCACCTACTTTGTATCAGGTGCACCTCTGAGAGTGAGTGGTATAGTATAGAGAGGACTGGTCTCTAAGTCAGGAAAACCTGGGTTTGAGCCTGGACTCTGACACATATTAGCTGTCTGAGCAAAGGTATAAGGTCTTGTGAGGTGATTAATTCATTCATCAATCAAGACAGATCAGCCCTAAGGCAATTAAGTTATTGAAAATATTTTGGGGAAAAGGAAATGCCTTCAATGCACACCTGCACATCAGTCCAACCCTGTTTGGAAGAATGGATGGATGGATGGATGGATGGATGGAGCATTTAGTAAATACTAACTATGTGCAAAGCACTGAGCTAAGCACTAGATGTAAAAGCAGAAAAGCAAGACCATCCTGGCTCTCAAGGGACTCACAATCTGGTGGATAAGACAATACAAATGTCAGGTTTCAGTTGCAAGTAAGATGGAAAGTTTAGGGTGCAGCAGTAAAACAGATGGTAATGTCTCTCCTTTACTGTCATTTAAATGACAGATGATCATTTTCCTCTCATCAAATCATATTAGTTTTTGATGTTGAACCATTTGACACTGGACTGGAATGTAGAGGGTGATGGAGATTGGGAACAAATTGAAGGAAAAAGCACCAAGGTTTGGCAACCGACTTGCTGTGCAAAGTGAAAGGCTGTTACAACTTGAGAGTTATTCTGAGGTTTCCTGTTGTGAGCACAGGTCTGTCTGAAATACTTTTCTTATAGCATCACACAGACTTTTGTTCAATAACATATATTTGCTGCTTAACGAGGAGTGTCTACCTTCCTATAAAGGTACTGAGGAAGGATTGTGCTATTAAACTCAAATTTCCAGAGGACTCATCACCCCCTTTCCATACCTCTCCCTATGGAAGACACTGGGGTTAGGGCGAAGGCCATTGGTAGCTGAGGCAGTGTGGAAGCAAGACTTGTCCTAAGCCAAGTTGTGTAGGAAAATTGAAGGTCTTTCCACAAGTTCTTTCAAGTCCTTTCCTTCTCTGAGAATCCCACCCCCTCAGGGAGTCCAGAACTTTCCTTTCTTTCTTTTCCCTTCTCATTTGCCAAGACCTGACCTCAGCCCTGACTGACAAATCTTAAAGTTTTACCCCTCTCATGGGCCTTTATATTTTATTCAGGAATGAATCCTTAATTCAAATCCCTGAAGAAAAATTTCTGGCTCTGTGACAGACCTGTAGGGGAAATATAAGGAGGCAAAAGAACTTTCTTGGTAGCTCCCAGGTCAACTGTATTTTGATTCCCCTCAGCTGGTAATGTTCTTTCCATCATTGACAACCTTGCTTTATTTTGTATATGGCTTTATGGGTACACATTGCCTTCTCCTTATAGCACTTTTTAATCTGGGGGTCCAGGGAGTCTGTGAAGAAATTTATGAATAGGGAGAAGGAGTCTACAGACTTGGATGAAGAAAAACTTACATTTTTATTTCCACTAATCACTTTGGTTTCCTTTGTATTTCATGAATTTAAATATATGAATGAAAGAATGAATGAAATATTTATTGAGTTTATTATGTGCAAGGCATCATGCTAAGTGCTGAGGATGCAGATAGAAAACATGACCGTCCCTACACTCAAAATGCTCACATTCAAACAGGTGAAACAACGCACATGGAAGATTTCAGTTGCAAATCAGACAGAAAGGTTCTGTGGTCCTTAGGGTACAGCAACAAAGCAGATGTTAACACTTCTTCTTGAATGTTGTTTCTGCTGATAAAATGTATCAGTTTTTTTAATGCTGAACTTTTTGACTATGCTAAGGATATTATTTGGTTGTGTATTATTTGGATGAGTCCATGGTAGACTGCCACAAGAGTCCATGACACAAAAAAAGGTTAAGAGGGCTACAAAAATGTGCATACCCTTTCATCCAGCAATAGCACTTCTAGGGCTATATCTGAAAGAGATCAAACAAATGGGAAAAGGACCCACATGTACAAAAATATTCATAGCAGCTCTTTTTGTGGTGGCAAAGAATTGGAAATTGAGAGGATGCCCATCAATTGGGGAATGGCTGAGCAAGTTGTGGTATATGAATGTAAGGGAATACTATTGTTCTATAAGAAATGATGGACAGGCTGACTTCAGAAAAACCTGGGAAGATTTATATGGTCTGATGCTGAGTGAAATGAGCAGAACCAAGAGGACTTTGTATACAATAGCAGCCATGTTATGCAATGACTAAGAATGTTAAACTGAACCCTTCTCAGCATTACAAGGATCTAAGACATCTCCAGAGGCCTCGGGATGGAAAATGCTGTCCACATCCAAAGAAAGAACTATGGAAGTCGAATCGCTCTCACTTATTTTTACCTTCAGTTGAGTTTTGTTTCATCTTTCTGATGGTTCCTCCTATTGATTTTAATTTCTACTTACAACTTCACTAATGTGAAAATATGTTTAATGGGTATGTAAATGTAAAGCCTATGTCAGATTGTGTGCCGTCTTGGGGAGGGTGGGAGGGGAGAAAAAGGGAGAAAAAATTTCCAACTCAAAAGCATATGGAAAAAAAATTTTTTTTAATTAAGTTTAAAAAAAAAAGGTTATGAATTCTTTCCCTATAGAATGTAAGCTACTTGAAGGCAGGGACTATTTTACTTCTTGTATACTTAGTGCCTAGCACAATGCCTGGCCCAGAGTAGGCACTTAATAAATATTTGTCAAATAGCTGATTGACTGTTGTTTGCTACCTACTCTGTGTATTTATAAGACTAACCCAGCATGGATAGGTGGGAAGAAAGAAGCTAATAGCCACCACCACTCTTGGAGCACTTAGGAGCATTAATACAACTCATCTCTCCCTTTGTGGACCCAAATGGCAGAGCTAAAGCAATGATTGGAAGTTGTTAAAAATAAAAATTTTTAATTCCATGCAAGAAAACTTCCAATCAGAGCTATTCAAAAGTAGAGTGGGGTATCACAGAAGGTAGTGAGCTCTCTAGCAAACAGTGATATCCAGATAGAGAATGGGTGACCAGCACATTAAGGATGTTTTAGAGAGGCTTCCTATTGAGTTAAAAGTTGGACAAGGTGGCCTCTGAGAATTCTTTCAACACTTAGATTCAGTGTTTTTGTATGAGAACCCTATTTCTGGTCTTGGCTCAGTCACAAACTAGTAGTGTGACCATGATTAAATTATTTTATATCCCTAGCCTGTTTCCTTGTCTGTGAAGTGGGAATAATTCACTACCCATCTTATAAGCTTGTATGAAGAAAGAACTTTGTAAACTGAAGAGAACTTTGGATATACAACTTTTCCTTCTTCTCCTCTTCTTCCTCATGTTTCTTCTCCTTCTCTTCCTTCTTCTCTTCTTCCGTCTTCTTTGCCTTCTTCCCCAGCTCCTCCTCATCTCTTTTCTCCTTTATTGTCATCCTCCTCTTCATCATCATCATCATTGTCAACATTTTATAACTATTACTACTATAGTAGTTATATCAGACTTTCTAAACCCCCTCCAGGTATTGTTTTCCTAATTCTGGAGAACCCATCAAGGACCTATTTATTAGGAAGTAGACACTTTTTATCCTCCCTATTAGGTGACCAACCCATCTCTTTTTCTCAGTCACCTAGCTTTTGGATATCTTTTCCAATGCTTAGTCCATGCTATTGGAGGCCAGATTGCCTCAGGCCAGTCTGGTAGTCCAAGTCTGAATTTGGGATGAAAAGAGCCATTCACAGACCATCTAACAAAAGGAGGTTTACTTAATCATGACATATAAAGAACATTCATTAAGGAAACAGCCCTTGTTCAGGTTGCTGTGGCTCCTTTGTTTCCATATGAAAAGATGTCTGGCCAACAGGGTGTGTTGAATTAGCAAGATGTGCTGCCTCTCATGGCAGTGGTACATCTGGCAGGTATAAAAGCCATTGATTTCTCATGGGCTAACCTCTTTTTATGACACTAGGCAATGAGAAAGCCATTCAATGGCTCAAGTCTTAGCCCTCTCAACCAATTGTGTCTTGGAAACAGCTTCCTTGCAGGGGAGAAAAATTATTCTAGCCTTGCACAGTCAAAGACCCTGATAGATACTGCTCCTACAACACATATAATTCATTCTTCATGATATGCTA